TCCTTCGCAGTATCCGTGGGTAGAAGGCAAATTTTCCGGCCCACTAGCTTATGATGTAGTATGATGATTGTCTTTGTGACAATTGTCAGTTATGCTTGTATTTGCTTGATGACTATGTGATTTCGGTTATGATATTATGTGGTAGTAGTATGGGTGAAATAGACCTGATATCTAGTTGAAATAGACCTAAGGGGATTGCAAGCACCCAAATATGCTTAATAGTATCCGGTTGAAATAGACAGAAGGGGTAGACAAGCACCAAAATATGTTTGATAGTATACGGTTGAAATAGACCGAAGGGGTATGCAAGCACCCAGATATGCTTGACAGTATGTTTGTTTAGTATGTGGTATTTTGGGGGAAATCACTAAGCTTTGTGCTTACATTTTCAGTTAATGTTGCAGGTACCTCTAGTTTGAAGGGGAAGGGTCCGACATGATCGCACCGTATCACCCTATGTGTAACACCCCGACTCCCAGGTACAAGTTTTAAAGCATTATATATATATTTATGGACCTACTAGACGAGTTGGTTGCCCCCAACTCGTCTTGTAGAGGCGGGATAACCTGCGTGGATTGCTGGATCTACTCGGCGAGTCGGAGGACCTGGACTCGACGAGTAGGAGCTGGGAAATGAAACCCTAATTTTTAGGGTTTGCACCCTATTTAAAGGACCTTAAGTCCTTTCCTCCAGTCCCTTATCACCCCCCTTGACGACTAGAAGAAACCCTAATCGCTATTAACTTTGTTCTTGAGTGTTGTGAGGCTTAAAGAGTGATTTTTGGTGCATTTTTATGAAGAAGGTGTGAAGTATAAGAAGCTTGGAGCAAAGAGGAGCTTGTGGATCTGACTCTACTTCTTCTTGGCTCATTTTGAAGGTAACAAGTCGTTACCTTGACTTATCTTTAGCTAGTTCCCTTCATGTTTGGGTTTAGGGCCATCTTTAGCACATTTGGGAGTCATTTCGAGTATTGGGGCAAGATTTGAAGTTTCAACTTCAGATCTGGACTCCCCTTGGTCCCTTTAGCTATAAGGTTATGAGATTTGGCAAACTTGGGTCCTTCCATTTGATTTAACCTTTCACTTAGTCTAGTTTTGGCATTTAGGACCATACATGCACGTAAAGTTTGCAACTTTACATGGAAAACATGCCCTAGGAGGTTGGATCTGCAATATGGAGCTTTGAGGTGGCTTAAAAACATATGTATAAGAAATGGACTGCATGAACTCGACGATTCGCATAGACGACTCGGCGAGTCCGATGAAGATTTACTGTGGTTGGGTTCTACACGGACTCGGCGAGTCAGTAAGGGGACTCGACGAGTCGGTAAGGGTTTTCCCCGACTTCTGGACACGCATGGACTCGACGAGTTGGTTGGAAACTCGGCGAGTCAGTTAGGGTTTTTTGACTTTCTGAGTTATTAAGGAACTCGACGAGTTGGGTCAACATGGGTTGTTGACTTTGACCGTTGACTTTGACTTTGACTTTGACCAAAAGTTGACCAGTTTGACTTCAAGGGGTATTTTGGTAATTTGGGAATTTATGGGAGAGGAATATCGGTGGATGTAGGTGTTAGACTTGGAGCTGCATTTGGTGGAGTTTGACTTTATCACTTCGAGCTACTTGTGAGGTGAGTTCTCCTCACTATATCAACAGGGTCTAAGGCACCAATGTCGGCCCTTATCGGATTTGTATATGACTTTATTGCATGATATGCTTATTGATTTACATCCTGGCAATTAGGATGGTGATATGCTTAGTGACCTGGTAGGTCGGTATTCTGGTTTATAGGATGGTTGCCATGTTAGTGATCTGTTAGATCTGTATGACTATCTGTACTTGCATGCTAGCGTATGTTATTATGTGCACATGTTTGTTGGTTGGGGAATTGGGTTGAGGCAGGTCCTGCTTTGTGCTATAGGCCAAGATACCCAGGGCGGACCGGATAGACTATAGACCCGGGATGGCATATAGTCAGGTCGAAGGCCCGTCGAGCAGTCCGGATAGGCTGAAGGCCCTGAGAGGCGGTCCAAACGTGCAGAAGGCTCGTAGAGCGGTCCAGATAAACTGATGGCCTGTGAGGCGATCCAGTCAGACTGATGGCTCATTATACATGCTGTGTTTGTTTATATGTTATGATTATGATCGTACGACGTTGGTATTTTGGGGGTAACTCACTAAGCCTTCGAGCTTACATTTATCGATTATTGTTTCAGGTACTTCTTCTGATCGCGGGAAGATGAAGGCGTGATCGTGCACCTCCTTATGTTTTTTGATTTGATTATGGGAAACTCTGACATTGAACTATTTTGAAAACAAGTTTTGTAATAATCATTGGTTTTGAAATGTTTTAAAAAGTTTAAAATTGGCATGATTTTTATGGATGTTACATTATGGTTTCCGCATTTAGAGATTTTGGGAAATTGTAATATGTTACTATGAACTCTTTTGATTACTTTGATATTAGTGTCATGTGATTTGAATGAAATTAAAAACAAAATTTTATATGTATTTTTGGGATGTTGCATTTTGAGATTAATTGGATTAATTAAAGGTACAAAGACTGTTTGGTTATTTATTGAAAGTTGAAGTAGGAAGGCCCTAGAACCCCATGGGATGGGGTGGACGAAAATTGGCTAGGAAGAGCCTAGAAGATAAGGCAGGTTGATTATTATATTAATTAATCTAGGCCTTATCCCAAAAACCCTAGCTTTGGCCTCAGGTTTCCTTCAGCTATATAAAGACCTCCCTCGCCTGATAATTTTTGTCCACTCCTTTCCAAGAAGCCAAGGCCGAAATTTTGAGCTCCCATCTGCTCTCTCTCTTTAAGCCTCTTTGTTATTAAGGTTGAGTGTGAACCATCAGAGGCACGAGATTTCTGATGCTAGCTTCCAAGCAATTTCAAGAAGGGTTTTGTTTTGTTTATCTACTAGCATAATCAAAAGGTATGTTTTCTATACCCTTTTATGAATTTCGAAAATCATAGGGTTCTTGTAGGGTTCTTGATATTCAAATCGATTATTGCATTCAATAGTGAAAACCTAGATCCTTAGGGTGTATGAGAATTTAGGGTTTTATCTTTTCCGCCAAAAATATATTTTTGTTATCTATAAAACCCATCAATTACTTAATTAAACTATATACTTAATAATACGATTATGTAGTGAAGAGTCGTCTGAAATAATAAAGGAGAGGTTGTGTGAGTTAGTGGCCGTGATAGGTTAGTGAGAGCTGTGTGAAATAATAAGTCGTGACTTGTTGTGCCTAATCAAAGTACTATTGTACTGTCGTGCCTGTCGTGTTTGTCCGCAGTACTATTGTACCGTCTTGCCCGCGTGTTTATCCAAAGTACTATTGTACTGCCGCGTTTACCCAAAATACTATCATACTATCGTGCCTATTCATTTAGGAAATATAGACAACTGCGAACAAAGGTACTTAAGAATGATCCCTTGAGATCATCACACCAGGATTAGAAGATAACGAGAATGGGGTAATTGGGATATTTATATGTTGAAGATTATTAGTTTAAAAGAATATGATATTGTGGGTTAAAAACCCAATGTGCTCACCATGTTTCCCAACGTGACCCACTCAGTTTATTTGTATCACATATACTTGGATAATGATGTATGTGTCTGCTGAAAGATTCAAGGATATGTAGACCATCAATATATTGAGATGTTGTAAGCCTCCGTTTATGCTTATGTTTCTTGTATCAATTATGATATCCCAAACTTTTAAAATATAAAAATATTCTAAAATGCGTTGATTTTGCTATTATATCATGTCAATGTTATTTTGGGACCAATTCCACAATAGCAAATGTTTCAAATAAGCATAAACTAAAAATTTTAAAAAGGCCGTGAAAATGGGGATGTCATATCAATACACATAAACTTTAATTTTTGGAATCCTCTTTCAAAAAATCTATGACAAGTTTCTTATATAGGCTAAATATAGAACTAAAATCACACATGACATTGGTCCATTCTAGAAGGATATAACTCGTAACATTCATGATACATCCCCGTTGATTATAAGCTCGTTGATATTTTTTAATATTGTTAAGTAAAACCGTCTGCGCAACGTTTCTTTGAAAGAGATGAACACTTGTGTCGATCTATTCGATTTACAAATTCAATTTAAGATAGTTTTAGCAGCCACAATTTCTTGAGTTTATTAAATAAAGGGATAATGTCTTAGAAGGGTAACATAGTTTAGGTTGTGTTCACGTTTAGTCCTTGAAGATATTTTTGTCCACGTATTACCATTAAACTTGTTTGGACTGTTCACATTACATCCTTATAACCGGTTAATGTAGGTTTTAACCGGTCATAAGGATGTAATGTGAACAGTCCAAACAAGTTCAATGGTAATATATGAACAAGAATACATAAGGGACCAAATGTGAACAAAACATAAACTATGTTACCCTTATAATTCATTAACCCCTTCTACAATAATTTATTCACATCACTAGAGAAATGTTTTCATATTTTTAGGATCGATCTCGTTGTTTGATGAGCCTGCATGGTATTAGGTAGTGGGTCAAACAATGATGCTTAGTTAGAACTAGGATGAACAACTAGTCTGAACCAGACCGAACCCGGTTTGGAACCGAAACTAGTTTAGACTAATAATGAGACCCGATAAATGGACCAAAATTAGACTATACCGGTTTCAGTGTTAGTGCCAGTTTTCGGTTTAATACCCGGTTGGAATCAACACATGTTCTTATGCAGTTGGTGCAACTAGTTAATGATTTGAGGCCAAATGATTAGAATAATACCAAATCAACCAACAAAAATTACCCTAATTATTATATATATATATTAAAGTTGGATTGCAAGATGAATAGTGAACTGGTGAACAGTTTGGCAAAAATGACCCATAAGTTTTCATATTTTTAGTGGTTCAGATTTTTGGCACTAAACTTTATGGTGTTGACAATTTGGTCCCTTAGAAGATAAGGATGGGGCTGATACGTTTCGTTCCCACGTCCCGCCACCGGTTCTGCCTTATCTTCCCCCTACCCGCTTTCCAGTTCCTATCCTAAAGCGAGTCCACCTAAACAGTCTTCTGTTCCTCTTTCGATCCGTTCCTCCCATCAGATGTATGCCCAAAATTGTCCGTATGGAATCACGCCTCATCCGCTTATCTGCTTCTCACTCTATTCGATTTTGGCCTCCATTCCATGTCGGCATCGTCGGGAGAAGAAGGTGGACTAACGTTACCTTCGTCTATACGCATTCTGTGTACTTTATTAGGTATAAGGTAAGATGAGTTTTAAACTGTTGGATTGTTTACGTTTGCTGCGTGTTTCTCTTTCTTCAGATTAAATCCAGTCTCAGCTAACTGGTTAAGTTTCTGTTTAGATTCTGGAAGCAATAGGTGGGAAATATAGCTCAGAGCTCTTCTCATTCTGGTATATATTTTCACATTTATGTAGGTGTGTTTTTCATTATCCTATTGAAGTTGGGTGTTAATCTCTACAGAAATTGTGTTTCTAGGTTTTGTTAGGGTATCGATTTGTCTCCGTCTTCTACTTTACTTTGCAGTTCGTATTCTAAAGCGAGTCGATTGCGCAGAACGAAGAGGAACAGGGTAAGTTTCCCGAGATCCCGATTGTTCTATCTATCTACCCACTCCGATTCTCTCACCTAATATCTTCCCGATTGTGATGATATCTGCTATCTGTATCTGCAAGGACAATCAGGTCAATTTGGTCCCCATTGGAACAACAGAAGGGGAACGGTTGGCTTAAATTTGATATGTTTATCTAAATTCAAACAAACATAGAAAGGTGATTTGCTTTTTGTTTTTTGCTTTTCGACTTTCAGGGCATGCTGTCTTTTTTTCTATTCAGAAGTTAGAATCTAATGTAGGGTTCTTTGTTTTTTCGATGACATTTCTATGTTGTTGTGTGGTCACCGGAACAGAAAAGAAGTGGTTGGCAGACGATGGGGACGGTGCCAGCGTCTACCTTGAGTCCATCGATCCTGTGATACCGATTGACACCGAAGAAGTTGAGGAAAACGATTCCGATTTTCATTCAGGCAAACCCTCAATCTGGCTCTGAGATAGTGAATGGTGTTCAGACCTAGAAAACCATACTAAATTCAAATTTGATATTGTGGAAATTCTTGATGTACATGCTAATGCCAGTGTATCTGTTGCTTTATTGGTCAAATTCAAAGGGTTTGTAAGTCGTTTTAACAAAACATCTTCGGGAGGACTAAATGACCGAAAAATCCCTGGAAATGGAATAAGGTCTGAAATGGAATAAATTTTGCTTTTAGGAAGTTTTATGAAGTTGTTCTGAAATTGTTTTCTTAGAATTTTTAAACACATTCATAACTTTTACATGTTAGAAAATTAGCATTCGGAAGACTTTAAGCAAGCTCTAAAGACATTTCAGCCATCCATTTTTGATATTTTAGTTATAGATTTTAAGCAAAATACGTACAACATAACAAGAATCCATTTATTGTTTTTAGATCAAATAGGAGATGCAGCCACATGTGTCATTTGCCTTGTAACTTCCATTTATTTTTTATCAACTTATCTCACTTTCATTTAATGTTAGTTTTTTTAATTTGTTTGCAGGCAGTTGTTTGAATAGGAAATCAAGAAGGTGTAAAAGGGTATTGGAAGGGCACTAAGGATGATAGAAGATTATGTGGATCTCAAATCAGGTGCTAAAATGTATGTTTTTATCATTTTTTTTTGCATATTTTACTGTTCTTGTATGTAATGATTTTAGAAGCTCTAACCGAATTAAAAAGATATGTTGACTATTGGCTTAGGTTTCTATTTTTTTTGTGTATTTTCAACTGTAGTTAGATGAATATGGGGAAGAAAACGAAGTATATGGTCTTGAAATGCATCCAAATGGAACAAAAAAGCTTATGGAAGTAGACATTTATCAATCTTTTCTGTATTTTTCTAATATTCCAGATTTCATGTCGGTCTTTGAACTTTCCATATTGATTTGCAAACCAGTGATGATTCGAGTAATGGGAAGTAGGGCGATGGAAAAACCTGCAAAGGAAGCAAAAACACTTGCCAAAAGGGACTCAACTTCCCAGGTGAGTTCATTGATCTAAGTCCATTTTTTTCGTCTACATACATGTTGTCTATTTTCTTTGTTCGGGAGCAATCCTCAGGTAATCCCATGGAGGCTGTCCCATATTAGACGGGGTTTTCAGGTTTCATATATTTACCACTTTTAACCTTTGTGAATTGGATACTAAATCTACATGAAATTAGATGTTTTAAATCTCTGCAATCAAATGACATAGCTTTCTGTTTGCTTTCTGATTTCTTCTCAATTTCAATAGAAATATCGTTCGTTCATGTAACTATACATGTGTCAAACGTGACAGGTCTTTTCTTGGCAGTTGGTAGTATGAATGATCGAAATTAGTGCAGTCATAAGGAAATGAAGAATTGGTTTGCCATGTCTCTTCTTTGGACTGAAAATGATAATAAAGGGTATTATGGTCTTTTTTGCTTACACTTAATTGCGATAGATATTTTCAAGACAGTGTGAAGCTTCGAGTCGATGATTGGCATGGGAAAAGGAGTCTTTGTTGTTTTAAAGATTTGGTGCAATAAAAGTTTTAAGGGGTATTTTTGTAACATGGAATAGTGAAAGAGTTAAAAGGGCATATTAGCTTTTTACTTTAACGTAAAAGAAAGATGGTGGAAAAAGACGAGGAAAGTTTGACTTCTTATTACTTTTAAAAGCTTACTGAGTTGTACTTATTGCATCGTAACATGTAGATTACTTTCGATTTTACTGTTTTGGGGTATTTGGTTAAAAGGACTGACCTGTGTTGTTGTTTGGTCACAGAAACAAAAAAGGATTGCAATTGTCAATGGCGGTAGTGCTGACCACCGGAGACAATTACTGGTCACGAAAAACACATAATTGGTATAAAAATATAATTTTCTCATCTAAGTTGACAGATAGTTTTTAATTGCATGATGTTTTGCTATCTTTTGGCTTTTGCTATTTCAGTTATTCGATAGTTGGTATATCTACAAAGTTAATCAAGGTTAGTTAGTTATTTGTGTTCTACTTTTGGTGAGATTTACCTTTTTCTTTTCTTCCAGTAACACAATAATAAACCCTGTAATTTCTTTCAGGAGTGCGTGAAGGTAAATTCAATTCCCCTCATATGTGAACAAAAACTTCATGCTAGATGAGGTAACTATGTACAACCATCTATCATGATTGCTAAATTAACATAACATTGATTAAAAATAGATACTTTTTTTTTACTTTTCTAAAGCAACCTGGTACCACATACAGGGACCATGTGCATGGACATAAGCATCATATAACTCAAACAAATATTTAAAAGCATCAGCTTCAAACAGAACATACAAGATTCAACTAATATGTAGTGAGTACCTAAAGGAAACTATATCTAAAACCTGCAAAAAAAATACAACAGAAACGGTTATATATAAACAGACAAATATTGAATTTGATGGTACCGAATAAAGATACAAAAAAACATAGACACAGTAAAAGTATTAAACTGAGGGTGCTGTAATTTTTAAAGAACATATGATCTTTAGTTTCTGCATATCTTTTATTTAAGAATTCTTAATCAGTAGGTTTGTAAAATATAAATTTCATTATCCATCTTTGCTCATCTGTCTTTCATATTCTTTGAAAGTCATATGAGAAACATGGATATTGTTTTACTATTATATCCATTGATTTCAAAAACTTTATTAAAAAGAATTCGTTAAATTATGTTGAAGCAATCGATAATAACAGAAAAAAAATAAGCAGGGGAACACTACAAAACCAGTGGACAGTTCAAGTAGAAACCAAGGAAGTTACAAAACCCACTGCATCTCAACAAGGGTCTGGGAAAGTCGAAAAGTGGAAAATCAATTTTTTATTGACACAGAAGTATGTATTTAATAATATGCATAATTCACTTATAATTCATGATATATGACTTTAATTAAGTCCAAAACTCTATTTTTGAGTTTTGGGAGAATATTGCCATATTGGCCATTGGATGCATCAATTTAGGTGGGAGAATCCATTAATGGGGTGGACATCGACTGCAGACCCGTATGCTAATGTTTGTGAAGCAGGACTCAGTTTTGAAAGTGAGGAAGCAACCAAAGCATTTGTTGAGAAGCATGGCTGGCAATATGTGGTATATATGTTCCTACCATTCTTCATGTATTCAAAACAGCAAAAAATTAAAGTATAATTGACTGATAAATGTAAAAAAATAGCAAGTTGCTTTTGTTGAGATGTTTGTTACAACATTATACTTTCTAAAATCCATCCCATTATAGCAATGTCAATTTTAATGTCCTAATAAGAAGAAATTAGGAAATACAATGTATGCTTGAACCAAGTGTTTCAATATTTATTTGGAACCTTTTAGATCATTTAAAACCTCATAAGGATGGAAACAACTCAAATCTGTCTTTTTGGTCCGTTTTTTACACAAACGCCCGAAGATATGCACGGGGTTCATTTTCTAATTAATAACCATGCCCTCAAAATTTCCAAAGATGAGATTCACTACAAAGCACCTATGCTTTAAAATTCTAATTATATACTTTTAGTTCTCATCTTTTATAGTTAGTAAATCATATAGATGATTCCATGAATTCAGTTTATACTTTATATTGAGGAAAGCTTAGTGTTCATGTTGCAGAAACACAACATTTAATAAATGGTCTTCACTGGGCAGTCATTAACTTAAACCCTGGTCGTAACCGAACCCCGCGGAGCGGGGCACCCCAGCTAGTTTATAAAGAAATAAGGTGTTTATATAGTATCAACTGAAGTACAAACAGTAAATTCAATGCTGAAATAAGATAAATTCAGCTTTGACACCCTATTTTTGGGACCCGTAACTCAATCAACATGTAAGTAAATAAATTGTTTATATAGTCTAAAATGAAGTACACATATAAAACTATGTGTTGAAAAATATTATGACATTTCGACATCAAAGTTTAAACGAATGAGTTATAACAATTTTAAAAAGATGAAAGATTGAGTAGGTCTGTGCTCACACTGAAACACCTCTCATACGAGCTAGTTGAAAAAAAGTTCAATGGCAACATAGAAAGCCACCAGAGTTTCCAGGTCATAAGGATATAATTCCAACTGTCCAAACAAATTTATAAGGATCTAATGTGAACAAAAAAGTTCAGCGCTAATATGTGGACAAAAAAACTTAAGGGACTAAATGTGAACAAAACCTAAACTATGTTAGTAACACCAACCGGTCATAAGGATGTAACGTGAACAGTCTAAACAAGTTTAATGATAATATGTGAACAAAAAATAACTTCAAAAACTAAACATAAACACAACCTAAACTAGGGGTGGCAAATATGTATTATGGAAAACCAACCAACATGTGTACCAACCGAACCAATTATGTTGGTAGCCAATATGTTTGGTAGCCAACATGTTTGGCTGGTAGTACCGTACCAATTAATTACTATTGGTACGGTAATGGTACAAGGTTTTAAATGCCACGGTATTACCATACCAACCAAGTTATTTTTCATATATATAAAGTATTGTATATTTTAACTTTAAATGTATTTGACGGTTAAGAGTTCAAGTGCTTTGATATTAGCATTTACCGTCTAGTAGCTTTTAAAGTTTAAACTCATATTAACATATCCCATTAACTCTATTGTTTAGTTTAAACTCATGGTACAAAATTATAAAATCTTTTTTTATCGAATTTTCAATCCAACCATTCAGAAAACTCTTATTTACAAAACCTACATTTATATTTGAAGTGCACAATAACACATAAATCTTAATTCCAAAAACACCCATACATGTTGGTATATACCATTACCAACATGTACCAACCGAACTTACTGGTAGCCAATTAAGTTGATACCAACTGTACTTGGTACGGTAGTGGTAACTAAAATTACATACCAATTATAATTGGTACGGTACACGGTTTGTGAAAAAAATACTCGGTACCGTACCAATTCCACCCCTAACCTAAACTAGGTTATCCTTCTAAATCATTATCCCTTAAATAAATACAAAATTCGTTTTTCCTATCCCCAAAAATTTATTAAATAAATACAAAATTCATCTTGCTACCCCAGATACTTAAAAACCTAGCTCTCTTGAGTCTTGATTGTGCTTCATACTTTGGTCCAGGGTCGGTAAACCCTGCCCTACTCTTTTCGACCCGAATACGAACCATTCCAACGGACCGCAGGCCTACTCTTCAGTTGTCTTCACCATCGCGGCGGCGATTTTTGGTTACCCTCTAGTTATCGGTTAACGCATCACCGCCGCGAATCACAATGGTCGAGTCCTCCTCAGTTGGGGGAGCGTCGCTCCCTTCAGGTCCTGATGGGAGAAAACGCCGTGTGTCGTACTTCTACGAACCCTCAATCGGCGACTACTATTACGGCCAAGGTCACCCAATGAAACCCCATCGCATCCGCATGGCCCACAACCTCATCGTGCATTACTCCCTTCACCGTCGCATGGAGATCGTCCGTCCGTTTCCCGCTGGCCCAGAAGACATCCGACGGTTCCACTCCGACGATTATGTAGACTTTCTAGCTTCTGTCACTCCGGATACCCTTCATGACCACACTCATGCTCGCCACCTCAAGCGGTTCAACGTTGGAGAGGATTGCCCAGTCTTTGATGGTATTTTTGAGTTTTGCCAAGCGTCTTCAGGTGGATCCATCGGAGCCGCTGTTAAGCTTAACCGGCAAGACGCCGACATTGCGATAAATTGGGCCGGAGGGTTACATCACGCGAAGAAATCCGAAGCTTCAGGGTTTTGTTATGTTAATGATATTGTTTTGGGTATTCTTGAGCTTCTTAAAGTCCACAGGGTATGCATCTTCACTCTCCGTATTTCTATCTCACTCACATTCTGCAAATATGGAAATTAGGTCTTTAAGAATCTGTATTACAACGATGCTATCTGATATTCTATTATAAGAATCCGATGGTCATAACATACTGTTATTTTGCAGCGTGTGCTATATGTAGATATTGACATCCACCATGGAGACGGGGTTGAAGAAGCTTTCTTCACCACTGACAGAGTGATGACAGTCTCATTTCATAAATTTGGGGACTTTTTCCCTGGAACTGGACACATCAAAGACATTGGTGCACACCAGGGAAAGTACTACGCCCTAAATGTACCTTTGAATGATGGAATGGATGATGATAGCTTTCGTGGTCTATTTAGACCAATTCTTCACAAAGTTATGGAGGTTTATCAGCCTGATGCAGTGGTTCTTCAATGTGGGGCAGATTCATTGGCTGGTGATAGATTAGGGTGCTTCAATTTGTCAGTGAAAGGTCATGCAGATTGTCTCAGGTATCTTAGATCTTTCAATGTTCCTCTCATGGTTTTAGGAGGTGGTGGTTATACAATCCGCAATGTGGCCCGATGTTGGTGTTATGAGGTCTTTATTTTCTCTATTTTGACATTTTTTCTTATGATTAGTTATTCCATAAGCATGATGATTTAATTTAATTTCTTTGAAAATTTTCAGACAGCAGTTGCTGTTGGCGTTGAACCTGAAAATAAGCTGCCTTACAATGAGTATTATGAGTATTTTGGACCTGATTACACGCTTCATGTTGAGCCAAGTCCTCTTGACAATCAAAACACTCCTAAAGATTTGGAGAAAATAAGGTGAGATTGTGTTGTAGATATTGTTTGTCTGTCTAACCTTGATGATCATATATGTTTTATTCATTGCAAACTTTATGGTTCATTATATTATAAATGTAGACACTGTATGTTTTAGGAGTTATGTTTGATTTGATGTGTGGACTTAGTTAAAAATGACACATGATAGACATTTTCCATAGCAATGTCTTTTTTAAGGGTGTCAATAGTATCCTTCTTTCTAAATTTATGTTTGGGTATATTTTTTTGGTTGGATGAAAGATATGTGCTACCATTTAACCAAATGTCATAAATACCCTTCAATGAACGAATGCCAATATAAAGGGATCCTGTTATGTTAGGCTTGTTGATTCCTTGTGAGGGATTGGCATCAAATAGGCAAAAATGGCATATTATTATTATTCATTTTTGACACCCTTAATTGACTAATATATTTTTTTCAATACTTTTTTGTTATCTGTGAACAAGCCTACACACATGTTGCTAAAGAGAGTAGAACCAGTTTGGATATCATCTGTACATTGCCAATTTGCCATGCCAGTTTAGATGAAAGGTTTACAGATGCTAGTTTGGAATGCCTTAAATACCCCTCAATAGGTGAAGCATGTAGAGTCAAATGTCGTGTATTGAAAGTAGACAAATAAGTAATTTTAGTTCAAGAGCTTAGGTAGGGCTTGATAAGCAGTAATCAAAGCTGGAATGGAATGAAAAAAATATGGTTGTTTGCCATGTAGGAATGGAATGGAGCATTCCTCAAGAAATGTGATTCTATTCCAATTATGTGATGGAATGGAGTGATATATTATAATTACAAGGTTTAGTTTTATATACTGATCTTCATTAAATAATGCCATTGTTTAAAAAAGCTCTAACCTTAAGTTAAATTATTGTTATAATTATATTAATTAAACCAACTATAGGATTTTTTGTTTATAATATAATTTTGAAATTTCATGGTATTCTATTCATTTAAAGTTTTTTAAGTTATAGTAAATTATTTTTCAAGTGATAAATGAAATTTTGTTCTACAAGTTGTTAAATCTAAAGAATATATATTTCCAACAATCATACAATTTATCAATGTGAAACTTATTCAGTAGTATATCAAGATTTCATTTTTTATAAATTAGACAGTTTTGTCCTTGTTCTTCAATTTCTTTTCATTCTTGTGTCTAATTATGCATAGCAAAACATACTTGAATGACACATTCATCATCTTTTATTTATTCTTTTTTCTAGTTTCTAAAAGGGTTTCTATTTTTAGCTTACCACAACTATTATAAAAGCTCATACGTTAAACACACACACACACACATATTTGGTGTGTTGTATTTTGACTTGAATATCATATATGACAGGAACATGCTGCTGGAGCAACTATCAAGGTTACCACATTCTCCTAGTGTCCCGTTTCAGACAACGCCACCTGTCACAGAAGTCCCTGAAGAGGTAAATAAATCTAAAATCTAAAATCATTCAATTAATTCACTTATTTGCCTTGTGCTTATTTTATGTTTTACTTTTTTTAAAAAAAAAAAATAAATAAATAAAATAGCCAGAAGAGCCCATGGAGAAACGGGCAAAGCCACGCATATGGAGTGGTCAGGAATACGATTCAGATGTTGATGAAGAAGAAAAGCCTCGGCGTCAAAGCTTCAATGCAAATCATATCAATCCAAGGTAGTATTACTATATGTTTGACCTCAAAAGTCAAACTTTAAAAAAGTAATTTGGTTGACCTCAAAAGTCAAATGTTTTCAAAAAATTTAACTGTGAATAAATAAAACGCAGGGATCATGCAAGGGGAAACATAAAAGATGAAGATATGTCGGATAGGGATGCTCCCTCATGAGTTGTTTTCTGCAACAACAAAAACTATGAAGTTGCTATTAGATTGCTTTCAAGTAGAAAAAAAACTTAGAAGAGTAATAGTCAAAATGCTTACTTTTTTGTAAATTGTTGGTTTAATTGTATGAGAATGGCATACATGGATGAATTTACTGTTTTAGACTGCTTTTGTTCTTCCAAGTTTATGTTTTATAGTTGTGGATCTTAGCTCTCAAAAATGTGCAATTTGTGTGGTTTATTTTGAGACAAAAAAATGCTACTAGATTGTTTCAATTTCTAATATGTTCATTGAAGATTAAAAATAACCAAATTTTTTGGTGTAAAAAGTTTCATCTACTACGCTGATTCGACCAAATTATTGTTATTGGTGTTTAACTTTTTTGGTTTTGTGTTATGTACATATTTATAAATACCTAATACGAAAATTTGGTGGGTTTTAGTTTCGTTTCTGATAGTTTTAACCTGGTTTAGTTAAATTTGTTTTTTTGGGGTCTAAATATCCGTTAAATCTAGTTTAAAATTAATCTTGTATAACACATTTTTATTCGAATAATTTATTTGTATTTTAATTAAAAGTTAATTAAACCACAAAAGTTCGTTGACTAAGTGAAGGCTTATTTTGTCCGAGACAAATGCTTTCATAGTTTTGTCGGCTTCAAAATAGTACAATCGTTCAAGAACATCCAAATCATAATTTCATTTGAAATTGAATACACAACATAATTCATTTTATTGTTCTTGTCTATTATGGAGCAAACCAATATTGACTTATTTTCTTTCGCCACTTAATTCCAAGATTATATAAAGTTTATTTATGCATTCACTAGAAAAATACATTTGGACACATTTACCTTTTATTTTACACCGTTTTTTTATTACATTTCAGACAAAACTGCAAAAATAGTCCATGTGGTATGTATTTTTTCTGAAGTTTAGTCTAAACCTCGATTTTTTTTTTGGTTTCGTGGTCCTTTTGAGTTAGGTTCGTTGCGGATTTGGTCCCTTAGCAAACTGAAATGACTGTAGTATCCTTGAGGTATTTATTTTATATTTTTCTTTCATTTTTTTAAAATCTAATACTATTAATTTATTTAAACAATTAAAAAAATAAGAGGGTCTCTCTCTCTCTCTCTCTTATTATATATATATATATATATTATATATATATATATATATATAGATATATATATAGATATATATATATATATATATTATATATAATATTAACTCAGAAAATCTGATGAACACGGACGGATACACAGTCAAGACCATACGTCTCTTCATTAACATATACACCCATCAAATTTTCTGGGTTTATTTTGAAAACACATACACTCATCAGATTTTCTGGACTTCTTCAAAACACACATACACTTATGAACATAGATACTCAAGAAAAACACACACCAAATTTTCTAACAATACACATACACACACACTTATGAACATACTTACTCACGAACAATACACATCAGGAGGGGTTTTCAAGATCTAACAATACATATAAGGAGGGATTTTCTAGATCTGTGTTAGGGCTTCCGACTGCCACCACTGTCCGCCACCACCACCTGTAACCACTTTCATCTTCACCTAGAAATCACCGGACCCCACCTGGTCCGAGGGTTTTTAAACCGGAGGAGTTTTCCAGATTTGCACTAGGGTTAGGGTTATTCAGACGTGTAGGAAGAAGCCCTTAATTTTGTTTGCTGGATTTCCTCCACACACATGTAGGAAGAAGCACAAGATAATTTTGCAGGTATGATTTTTTTGGGGGCTGCGATTTCAAAAGAAGGGGAACCATCATGTGGGATAAAACACACAACATCATACACGTATTTGTTTGTGGAATTCTTGATCACAAACAAACCCCAAAATGTTTCAGAGTCATCGTTTTCTCTTACACTTATAGGATACAAGAAAGTCGATGAGATTCCGGTGGCGAATTCAAAGTAAATGAACGATCTCTATGTTGGTCCCAAGTTCAGAATCGATTCCAGAACTACCGTAACTTAGAGCTTCAATTGGTTCTTCTTGGGTTGTTTGTTTTTCCGACAATCATATTTCCCTTCTAGATGGCTTTCATTTTGCATCAGATCTAAACTAGAAACAATGATACACACATACTTTATAACGTCCCAAAAATTCAGAGTAAAATTTTCATTTTTAAAACATTAATACAAATAACATGTCAATCCCAAAATATTCAATGTTAAAAAATAGTATTTAAACATCAAAGGCAAAGATCACGAATAATCAAATGTGGAATAAACTATGGGGGATGCTGTGTTGTTATGTCGGGCCCTTCCCTTTCGAACTAGAAGTACTTGAAACCATAACATGAAACTATAAGCACAAAGCTTAGTGAGTTCCCCAAAATACCAAATACCATACATATCATTGGGCCCAACCTGTACATTGGGCTCAACGCATAATAATGGGCCTATCCCTTCATAATAAATGGGCCCAACCCAACATACAAATGGGCCTATCCCGACATACAATGGGCCAAACCCACTTACGCAATTAGGACCAACCCTTCATGCATACTAATGGGCCCCAACCCAACATACAATGCAACAGTCACAAAGACAACTAACATCCTACATAACATATCCTAGTGGGCCGACATTGGTGTGTTCGAACCATGGGTACAGTGAGGAGACTCACCTCGATCCGAAGACAACCCAATCTCCCCCTCGAGCTGCCGAAACGAGAAACCCCCACACTAACATAAATAATTAAACCCCAATCATAAAATAAATCATAATCAATAACCAAAGGTCCTTTTCCATAATTACAACTCCTTGGGTAAAAGACCATTTTACCCCTCCAAGCCTAGACCCAACCAAACATGGTCCAAACCCTAAAATGGCCCAAAAGTGACTTAATTCCTCCTCCTGGAGTATGCCTTGCATACATCCTCCTTTTGCTGAGCGTACCATGCATCAATAGAAAAATGGGACCAAGGCTCCATACGCGCCGCGTACAGAAAGGTACGCCCAGCATACCAACCAGTTAGCCAAATTCCATTTTTAGGTCTTATTCCTTTAAGACCAAATGTCCAAATCGTCAAGTTCAAGCCTAATGGAAGTCAAGAGTCATAAAGTTCCTGACATTATGACCTAGCATGACTTAATAGAGCCCAACACCAAACTTAAGCTTCCTAACATAACAAGATGACCAAGAACTCACTTAAAAGTGCTTAATCCCTTTAACTTTACGTCCACGGCTCATATCTAATTATAATGGGTGCCTTAATTAATAAATACAATAACTTGATGCCTTTGCATGGCTCTAAGAAACCCAAAACTCAAATTTGGCCTACTAGCTTCACCAAGAGGTCAACAACTCATGCATGGTTGGTCCACAACCATCAAGATGCAAACTTTATGAACAAGGGACCTAAAAAACATCAAAATGAACACCCAAAACCTCTGGAGTAGCATTTACTCTCAAGAATCAACTCATGGGGACCAAAAAGCACAAAAACTCACTCACAAGCAAGATCTAACAAATGAACCATCAAGTTTGAGACTTTTTACCTTCAAAAGACGCAACAAGGAAAACCAAGCTAGGATCTACAAGCTCTAAGCAATCCAATTATTCTCTAATGAGTTATCCCTTCTCCAAAATGCACCAAACACCCACAAAGGTCAAGAAAGCTCTCAAAGGGTTCTAGGGTTTCGAAATCATAGGTTGAGGGGGATGGAGGCTGAATAATGGGAGGGTTTCTATGAGTTAAGATTTTTAAATAGGGCTTAAACTGTAACATCCTAAAAATCACGGTAAAATTTTCATTTTTCAAAACCAACCCAATGACCATGATTGTTTACATAACATTGTTTCAAAAGTGATACTCAATAATCAGAGTATCCCAAAATCCAAATAACATAAAATCCGAAGGATGTATACGATCACGCCTTCGCCTTGCCCCGATCATCTGAAGTACATGAAAACATGAAACCAAACTGTAAGTACGAAGCTTAGTGAATTCCCCCAAAATACCACCACACAAACATATAACAACATGCATACTGGGTCCACAACTAACAGACTGGATTACCCCTGAGCCCACAACATGAGTCTGACTTGCCTTCCGACCCACAACTCATGTCTGGATTGCTCCCGAGCCCACAACATAAGTCTGGCTTGCCTTACTGGCCCACAAATTATGTCTGGCTTGATCCCAAGTTCGTTGGCTTCCACGCAGAGCATGATTTCCTCAACCCAACCATACCATGTCGACATATACATAACAGATAACATCTATCCAACAAACAAATAATCATATAACCAGTCAGACAAATAGGCAGATCTACAGATCACTATCGCATAGCAACATCCTATATACCAGGACACAGATCTAACAAATCACTACCACATAACAACATCCTCTATACCAGGATACATAACCTAGTGGGTCTGCATTCGTGCCTTCGACCCATGAGTATAGTGAGGAAAACTCACCTCTCAGTCTGAAAAGATTGTTGAACAGGACACACCCCTCAGTCAAATTTGGTCAAAATCAGGTCAAAATAAAAAAGTAAAAAAGTCCACCGAGTCAACTCAGCTGAGTACGCCAATCATACTCAGCTGGTACCCATGACGTACTGGCATATTGACTAGAAAAGCGGGTTGTTGACCTGGTATGCCCACCATACCATTTCGTACGCCCAACGTACGCACTTGTCACCTTTTCTTCTATTAAGAGCTTAATCCTTAAGCTCTTTTGTCCAAATTCCAAATCTAGTCCTCAAATATTGTCCTTTACCATAAAGTTTCCAACTTTATGGTATTGCATGGCTATTAAGTGCTCAATACCAAAAACCCTAACTTCTTAACTCATTAAGAAAACCTAGATCATGTATGGAAGGAAACTAATGACCAAGCCTACATTTTTATGCTTCTAGACACTCCAAAATATTTGAAAGGACAACTCATATGAATTAGAGTAACCCATACTCATAATACCAAGCTTATGGGACCAAAATGAACACAAAACAATAACTAAACAAGATCTAAGAAGAACTTCATCAATATCAAATCTTTTTACCTCCAAATGGTGTCAAATGATGATGTGATTCTGGATCCAAAGTGCTCCACTCTTCTAAGATGATCTTCTCTTCATTTTTCCTACTTCAAGATCACTAAAACACAGACTAATGGCTCAAAATGCTCTCAAATGGATTAGGGTTTGCAAAGGGGTCGAAATGGGGCTGGAGG